GCATGGACGCTTTGCAATTTTGCAGTCCCTCTTTTTTTGTGTAGGAAAGCAGGAGAGAAAAAGAATAAACAGGTGGATGGAGAGATATCCACCTTCGGTGGCTAAAAATTCGAAGGAGGGGGAGAAGAGGAAGGAGGTTGGCGGGGAGGAGGAGGAGGAGGAGGAGGAGGAAAGGCGAGGATGGGAGGTAACTCCAAATTAAGTCGGCAAAGCATTACCAGGAGCTACAGGGGTAAAGACGATCGACAGGGGAGAGGGAAAAAAGAAGGAGATAGGAGGAGGAAATTGGAGGAGGTGGGTGGAAGGGCAGATTAGCAACTTAAATTATCTTCCAAAGTGCCCCTAGGAGTGAACATTTTCTGATACCATCGATGCACACATCTCCACTTGGTGAAGACAGCTGCATCGTTAATGAGGATCCACAAACCCTCCTTCCCCACCCCTGTAATTGGGTTTCAGATTCCAAGTGTGCCTCCAATCCATCCACCAGCCTCTTCCAAAGCCTGCGGTCAACAAGACAAGGCACGCAGGTGTAGAGTCTGTAGATGGCCTTTTGTTTCCCTCCAGACCTGCCCAATAGGCATTTTAAATGTTTATCAGGAATGCGAACCTAGTAATTATCCTGTAAAGGTTTTAGCAGGAAGTGGGCGGAAAATGTTGCCTCCTTGTTTTGAAAGCTTGTTTACTGTGTGAGCACTGTTGCTTGATAATATCCTGCTAAGGATCTTGGAAGTTATTCCAAGCCGCGGTGGATCACATCAAGAGTGGCGCCTTAAATAGACCCTAGTCACAGATTTTATGGGTAAAACGTTGAGTGGACTGCGCCTCGGTGACTCGACTGCCTCTGCGACCCTCGCTTCCGTCTTGCAGCCCCGCCCGTCCCAGTGCATGGGAGATGTCCACGCAGTGCCTTAATAAAATAGCAGAATAAATGACAAACAACGCGCTTCCCTCCACTTCTCTCCAGGGAATGCGATAATTTAATCATTTTATCCTCCTGCTCTACATTTAGGCGCCTCACATCGCCACCACCTGGAGGTGATGAGGTGAGGTGGAACAAAATGACCCACAGAGATGACTACATTTGAAAGTGCCAATTCGAAGGTGCCTCGTTGAACGCAAACAAGGCAGCAGGTGTTGTGACCATCAAACCATCTGCACAGATGGTGCCATTCTTCGTGAAGTGGATACCATAGAAATGTGTGTGTGCGTGTGTGTGAAGTGAGGAAATATTTTCATTCACGACGCAAATTTTAAAAGGAAATTACATACACCTTTCCTCAACGCACAAAATGTAGTTGCATTTTTTGGGCCAAAAACACATTCACTGGGCTCTTATCTACCTTAAATCTCGTTATGCGACAAAACCGATTGTTTAATCATCTTACGGCACGCTAAAGTACCACCTAATGCCAGCCAAATCGGACATCACGATTACCAGGAGTGTATTTGACAGCTTTGATGTTACAAACAGAGGCTATGATAAATTGCCACAGCCAGTCCAAAGAGGTGGACTGAGATGCCCAACGCATCGACTGAGCCCATGACAGTCTCCCCATTCTGATGACGATACAGTCCACCGGTGAGGCAATAAGTCAGTCCAATGTAGAGAGCTAACCAATGTGTAGGTGTTCTATTGCTGTTCTTACACAATGAGGCTATGATTGACTCCAACGGTATTACATTCTGCACCATAGTGGCACACATTTGCAAAGCAGCCATAAAATCAGCCACATTAAGGAGTTTGTTGGCCTCATTGTGAATTGCATAAATGTAGACGAAGTAGAATAGCAGAGAGACGTGAGCCAATACTAACATGTAGCTATCTTTTGTAAAAACGGTGCAAACGAAGAGGTAGAGGAGGTTGGCAAGACAGATAGCCCCAAAAACATAGGAGATTGCAGTGTCCTGGCACTCGGAGTGCTGATTCAAGATGACCTGATTGAAGGCAACAATTGTGCCGATCAGGTAGGTCATCACAGTGGCTGAGGAGATGAATTTGGTGTGTTTAATGATTATGCACTCAAGGGCTCCCATAGCCATGTAGGAGAGCGCGGCAATCATGTAGTAGGTGGAGATAGGAAAGGCCAGCAACTCATAGAGGTACACAAAATTGTCCATCGAAGGCAGGAGCGCCGATATGTCAATGTCATTCATTCTCGTCAGACACTCATTTATTGGCGGCAAAGCGGACACTAAATATCGATTTGTGGGATTTAAAATGAGGTAAAAATTGATTAGTCATTTTTTCATCCAAGGCGCCAAGTCCAGAGAGTTGTTACTAAATGGATTTAATCGATTTAAACATCAACTTCGAGGTAAAATATGTGCACATTACATACTAATTAAACGGATTTATGAAATCTCAAAGCAATAAATTAAATTGATTCATAGCCTGTGATAAGGCGAGTGGTTTTTTTTTCATGAGCAATAAAGTACTTCATGCCAAGCGGTCAGATTGCATCAACCGCATGGTTGAGCTGGAGCGGACTGTACCAATTCCCAAAGTGAGCATATCCCCGCAGCACTTTGATTTTTTGTAGCCCCTCCCTTACTCTACACAGTATGCGATAGCATCCTCACTAGACTGTCTTCTCTATCCACCAGCCTGCAACCGGAAGTATAGCAATGGTTGCCGATATATTTTGGCAATGTGAAGCATTAATGCATATTTTTACGTTTACAGCTGGTGTACCCTCTTGGCATATTCGAAGAGCTTAAGTTCATCTAGTCCTAACTGTTCTGAACTCACGTTGAGTCACGAGCCAAAAGTGCAATGAGTCAATTTTCACAAGATCATAGAGTTAAAAATTGCTATGCTAATGTCGCTGAGAGGATTATAATTGACTTGTAGGTGAACTTTGCTGCATCACTTCTAATCCCCTACATTCGTCCTTTTCGGGCACTTCTTAATAATTCACACTGCTACCACGGTATAGAGGAGCATCTCCCTCCTCTTCCCCCTCCCTTATTTCAATTTGTACTTTTACAATTCTTTCGAAAGTGTTCTCCTATTTTTGTGCGATTGCAAACTTTCCTTCCTAGCAAAGTCAGCTTTTAAATAGTGTCCGCGG